GAAGGCTATTGCTTAACGCATTGTAAGCCGCCCTGAGTCTCCGGAGAAGGGCGGCATATAAATCGAACCAATAAATAAACAATAAATAAATAAAAAATGAAAAAGAACAATTGAAAGGTATAAAGAAATAGCTGACGATCTTCTTCACAGCAGTTATAATAAGTACAGTTATATTTTAACCTCTCTCTCTCTTTTTTTTTCTCTCTCTCTCTAAAAGTTACATCATGACTCTCCTCTGGCTATAAACTAAGATCAGAGGCATTTGTTGATGTGCAGTATAACCTGCTAGTTTCTTACTACTTTCCCACACTTCAAAGTATTTCAGCAGTGAGCCTGGCTCCAAATTATTGCATATATTAAAGCTCTTTCTTTCAACGTTGGGCACTTTCCATTACGAAATACCTTTAATCCTCTTTATCTTAATCTTCAGGGCTTTTTTGACCTGTCAAGGGCCCATATAATACCTCCAACCTTCTCAGACGTTTTATTTTGCTCTATCTTTCACCCCAATCAGTCAGAAGACATAATCGCTTCCTTGCCGAAACATACCGTACTTGGAAGATACAACCAGAAGTATTTTTAAAAAAAAAAAAAAAAAATTCTTGCATTCTCTTTAATTATCTTTTAATATCGTGGATCCCTGTCCTGTAACTTGGTGTCTTCCAAATGTCTTGGGGTTAAGTTTCCTGGAATTCTCTCTCAGCCGGAATTTTGGGAGTTTTGGGAATTTTGGGAGTGATAATTCCAACATGTCTGAAGATTTCAGACTGGGGAAATTAGCTGTTTTTTCTCCCTCCCTCTTCTTCAGCGAAGAGGTGATAAAAATGCTTTCAAAAGGCTCTGACGATCCCAGCTGAGTTGCTTGATCGGCAGAGACTTTTTTTCTTTTAAATGCCTCCGACGATCAGGCAACTCAGCTGGGATCGTCAGAGGCATTTAAAAGAAAAAAAAAGGGGTTTTTTTTCTTTTAAAAGCCTTTGGCGATCCCAGCTGAGTTGCCTGATCAGCAGAGGCTTTTTTTTTTTTTAACTTTTAAAAGCATTTTTTCGGCCGAAGAGGTTGTAGAAAAAATACTTTTAAAAGTTAAAAAAAAGCCTCTGATGATTGTGCGGCTCAGCTGGGCATGGGAGCGGGGGGCAGGGATTTTTGCTACCGGTTCTCCGAACCACCTGCCTCCATCGCTACCGGATCGGGCGATCCGGTCCGAACCGGGAGCATTTCACCCCTGCCTCCCCTCTTCCTTTTGCCATAGATCTTTTCTAGATTTAGCTATTTTCTCATACCGCAGGATATTTCTATGGCTTATTATTCTACAGAATTCATTTATCACATCGGCAAGCAGATTTGCCTAAAACACGAAGACTTGGAAACATAATTTTTTTTAAAAAAAAAAAGCTGTCTCACATTCTGTAACACATACTTACCATAGTCATTTCATGGGGGAAGAATGTCAGAAAACAAACTGCTCTTGTAAGGTTTAATTAATTCCCTGTAAGAATAACTGTGGAACTACCTTAATTTCATGGCCCGTGTAAAAGAAAACTGGAAAGGATAAAAAAAAAAAAACCCCTTAGTATTTCTCGCGTCTAAAACCCCCCAAATTGTGTTGACGATGTCATTATATGCCAAACACTCGTCGTTAATGGAAGCCATGGAATTCATTGCTGTCGGGTGGGGGGGGGAGGAAAGCCAACAACCCTAGAAAGAGTTAAATGGACTAAAATTACATCAGCTTTCTTGCAGAACAATAAACAGGAAACGCAGCAAAAAATTAAATTTATACGTTTGTGACTAAGGCTGTTTGAGAGCTTCAGGCTCGGTTCGGAAGGGTCTGATTTTCAGCCCAGGTTTATTATTGGTGGCAAAATTATATACTTGGTTAGAAAACAATGGTGGAGACTTGGCAAAGCAGGAAAAAAATGACTCAAACCTTCATTTGTGACCCTTCTCTCTCTTCAGCCTCATTGGTCAGATTATATATATAGTGGTCACTGTTTCCTGTGGGGTGTAGTATTTGCGAAATGCGCCCAAAGTGTCCATGGCAGGTGGCTTCATGAGTAGACGGATCAAACGTCAAACGCATCATGTCAAATTTGGGCACCTGCTTGCTTGCCCAGGACAATTCTGGTTTTCCCTTTCAGAGCTGGTGTTAAGTACAGGTAGTCCTCGATTTACGACTGCGATCGAGCCCAATTGCTAAGTAAGAACTAAGATTCTAAGATAAGGGGTCAAGCTGTTTTCCAAAGCACCCGAAGGCCAGACAAGGAATCATGGATGGAAACTGAAGAAGGAGAGATTCAACCTGGAAATAAGGAGGAATAAGGATGGTTGATGGTGAGAACCATCAACGCATGGAACAGAAGTTGCCTTCAGAAGTTCTGGGAGCTTCATCCCTGGAGGCTTTCAAGAAGAGACTGGACTGCCATCTGTCAGAAATGGTGTAAGGTCTTCTGCTTGGGCAGGGGGTTGGACTAGATCAGTGTTTCCCAAACTTGGCTATTTTAAGATGCATGGACTTCAATTCCCAGAATTCCCCAACCAGTATGCCTGGTTGAGGAATTCTGGGAGTTGAAGTCCATACATCTTCAAAGGGTCAAGTTTGGGAAACACTGGACTAGATGACCGACAAGGTCCCTTCCAACTCTGATAATCTGAATCTATTGAACATGATCAAAGTCCCAGAGACTAAAACATACGATGAACAGTTGCAGGAACTGGGCATGGCTAGTCTAGTGAAGAGAAGGACCAGGGGAGACATGATAGCAGTCTTCCAATATTTGAGGGGCTGCCACAGAGAGGAGGAAGGGGGTCAAGCTATTTTCCAAGGCACCTGAAGGCCAGACAAGGAATACTGGATGGAAACAGACCAAGGAGAGATTCAACCTGGAAATAAGGAAGAATATTATGACAGTGAGAACAATCAACCCATGGAACAGAAGTTGCCTTCAGAAGTTGTGGGAACTTCATCCATGGAAGCTTTCAAGAAGATACTGGACTGCCACCTGTCAGAAATGGTGTAGGGTCTGCTTAGTTGGACTAGATGACCTACAAGGTCCCTTCCAACTCTGATAATCTGTTAAATTTCTTAAGTGAGTTTTGCCTCATTTTATGACCTTCATTTGCCACTTTTGTTAAGCAAATCCCCGCAGTTGTTAAGTTAGTCACACGGCTGTTAAGGCTTCCTCACTGACTTTGCTTGTCAGAAGGTCAACAAAAAATGGTCCCCGTGACCCCGGGACACTAAATATGAAGCATTCGAATGTAAATCACCTGACCATGGGGGAATGCCGCAACAATCATAAATATGAAAAAAACCCCGTCTTGTCAATTTTTTTCAGTGCCGTTGTAACTTCGAATGTTCATTAAACGAACTGTTGTAAGTCAAGGACTACCTATAGAACGGTGTTCTACTGATAAAGGAGAACATTTGTTGCAATGAAGGGTCTTTGGTGCTCTCTCCCTCTTAACTTGGTTTTAGAAAATGTGAGGAGTTAATCCACTATTCCTTCATCACGCTTTCATCCTCCTCCTCCAGTGAGGATGACAGAAGAGAAACTGAGGGCTCCTTGGTGCCCTCTGAACTTGGTTGATTTCTTGCTTGTTTCATTACCCAAACTAGCTAACATCATCATTGCTAGAGCAAACCCCATTCCTTGCCAGCCCTGATGTTGTTACCTACTTTGGGTAATAAAGCAGCCGTGTGGTGGCGCAGAGGTTAGAATGCAGCATTGCAGGCATAGAAATAGAATAAAATAGAAATAGAATAGAATAGAAATTAGAATAGAATAGAACAAGAATAGAATAAAATAGAACAATGAATGGAATGGAATGGAATGGAATGGAATGGAATGGAATAGAATAGAATAGAATAGAATAGAATAGAATAGAATAGAATAGAATAGAATAGAATAGAATAGAATAGAATTATTATTATTATTATTATTATTATTATTATTATTATTATTATTATTATTTATTACTATTATTTATTGAATTTCTATACCGCCCTTCTCCCGAAGGACTCAGGGCGGTGAACAGAATAAGATTTCATATACATATAATATATATATATATATATTTATAAACAGTAAATAATAAATTGAGTCAACTTAGTGTATCTGCTAAGACCTTGGCATAGAATTAGCATAGAAATCTCCATTCGCACCCCACTCCAGGGGGAAGGATACTGCAAAATCCCCATTCCCACCCCACTCCAGGGGGAAAGGATCCTGCAAAATCTCCATTCCCTCCCACTCCAGGGGGGGAAGGATACTGCAAAATCCCCATTCCCACCCCACTCCAGGGGGAAGGATACTGCAAAATCCCCATTCCCATCCCACTCCAGGGGGAAGGATACTGCAAAATACCCATTCCCATCCCACTCCAGGGGGGAAAGGATCCTGCAAAATCTCCATTCCCACCCCACTCCAGGGGGAAGGATACTGCAAAATCCCCATTCCCCACCCCACTCCAGGGGGAAAGGATCCTGCAAAATCTCCATTCCCTCCCCACTCCAGGGGGGAAGGATACTGCAAAATCCCCATTCCCTCCCCACTCCAGGGGGTATGATATTGCAAAATCTCCATTCCCACCCCACTCTGGGGCCAGTCAAGAGGTGGTATTTGCCGGTTCTCTGAACCGCTCAAAATTTCCGCTACCGGTTCTCCAGAACCTGCTGGATTTCACCCCTGGTTGGGTGTTTTGGGGGGGTGGGTGCGTAGAGAGAGAGAGGATCTGTGTTCGCCAAGCAAAGACGGGAGCTCCTGTGCGATGCTCAGCTCCCAAATTATTATTATTTTTTAAATCCCCAATATCCCTTCTTGAAAAGGTTTATTTTTTTTTTTTATTTATTTATTTTAAAATTTGATTTATATGCCGCCCTTCTCCGAAGACTCAGGGCGGCTTACAATATGTTAAGCAATTTTAAACATGACATGCTGGCTTGTTTGCCGAAGGTCTTATCTTTGCTGCTTTCTCTCCTCTTTTTTTTTCCATTCCAGGATTCCGTTCAAGATCGGGCAGCCTAAGAAACAGATTGTGCCCAAGACAGTGAGTAAACCAGTTTTTTCTCTCTCTCCCCCCTCCTCTCCTCTCCTCTCTTTTTTTTTTTTTTGAAAAAAAATCTTGTCTTTGATCATATGGCTGATGACTCAAGCCAAGCACACATTAACCAACCACGTTTTTTAATATGTTTATAGGCGTGTGGGTGGGAAAAAAACATGAGTGAGCTGAAATTGCTTCTGTCTTTGACCATGGCTCCCTTGACTGAGGGGGAGTCTCAAGCTTATTTTGGTACCTTCTGGATCTGTGTCCCTGCTCCTTTCTTAGCACCCCACTCCTCCCCTGCGTGTGTGTGTGTGTGTGTGTGTGTGTGTGTGTGTGTGTGTGTGTAAAGGAGGGGCTTTTGTCACTCTGGCATGGTTTTCCTAGGAGATGGTTGAGCAGGCTTCCTTCCTTCCTTCTTTCAGGCCTGGCTTGTTTGTTCCTCTTTTTTTTTTTCCTTCTTCTTCTGAGCAGATGGAGAAGGAGGCCTGCTTCGTATTACTGCATATAACTGTTTCCAAAGGCAGGCTTATTAGAGGAAGCTTGAAAAATGCTTAGTGCCCGGGTGTGAATTAATTTGGATGGCAGAGCATGTTGCTTTAAAAGGCATTTTAAGACACACGCACATAACACCCAATGCCGTTTCGTATTCTGGAGGCAGCCTAAAAGCATAAACGGGGATAGAATCAAGATCACGTGAAGTGTTAATACTCACTTTATAAGGCCTTGGTGAGGCCACACTTGGAATCCTGCATCCAGTTTTGGTTGCCACGATGTAAAAAAGATGTGGAGACTCTAGAAAGAGTGCAGAGAAGAGCAACAAAGAGGATTATTTATTTATTTATTTATTAGTTTGATTTATATGCCGCCCTTCTCCGGAGACTCAGGGTGGCTTACAATGCATTTTAAGCAATAGCCTTCATACTTTTGTATATACCTGCTTAGTAGGGCTTTTGGGGCCCCCCCAAGCAGTGTTCTTTTTTATACAAAGTCAACTTATTGCCCCCACAAACCGGGTCCTCATTTTACCTACCTCGGAAGGATGGGAGGCTAAGTCAACCTTGAGCCTGGTGAGATTTGAACTCGCGGTAATTGCAGGCAGCTGGCAGCTAAATACTACTTTAACAGTAGTTTAGTCCACTGCACCACCAGGCTCCTAATAAATTAGGAGACTGGAGGCTAAGGGGACTGGAGGCTAAGACATATGAAGAACGGTTGCTGGAATTGGGTATGTCTAGTTTAATGAAAAGAAGGACTAGGGGAGACATGATAGCAGTCTTCCAGTATCTCAGGGGCTGCCCCAAAGAAGAGGGAGTCAAGCTATTCTGCAAAGCACCTGAGGGCAGGACAAGAAGCAACAGATGGAAACTAATCAAGGAGAGAAGCAACCTAGAACTAAGGAGAAATTTCCTGACAGGTAGAACAATTAATAAGTGGAACAACTTGCCTCCAGAAGTTGTGAATGCTCCAACACTGGAAGTTTTTAAGAAGAGGTTGGATAACCATTTGTCTGAAGTGGTGTAGGGTTTCCTGCCTAAGCGGGGGGGTTGGACTAGAAGACCTCCAAGGTCCCTTCCAACTCTGTTATCCTGTTCTTAATCGTCTTACCTTGAAGCACTGGGAGAGGGCATGGGGTATTCCCCTGCTCCCCACACACCCCCCCCCCCAGCTGATTGCAAATATGGAGCTTCGTGTGGTGTTTGTGCAGCAAGGAAATCTGTCTGTAGAGGAGGCATGGGAAAGCTGTAGCTTTCCAAATATTGCTCAGCTACATTAGTCATGCTGGCTGAGGCTGAATGTCAGGGTTCCAAGTAACACCCCCAACGAAAGAAGACTCCGAGGCTTGAAGTTCCTCAAAGTTCCATTTGATTAGAGATGTCATATTGGCACATCTGGGAAAACCCGAATCTGAAAGCTTCCAGGTTGTCCCCACCCAAAGGAAAGTTCAAGGCCCTGCCCACATGTCCATCACATGGCCCAATCAAACCCACTGTCCGAATGTTCTCACCTAGGCTTCTTGAGACAGTGAAAAGCACACGATTAGTCCCCAAAACCCTCTTTTTATCTCAACGGCTGTGAATTCTGTTCATTCACAGCCCGTAATGAGTCACAAATAGTTTGTAAAGAGTCCGACAGAAGTTTGCCACAGTCCTTTGGGATAAGGCTGATAAGCACCCACCTTTATCTCCCTTGACACCCTGCCAAAGACCTAATTGGCCATTAGCTTTGCAAGGCCACACGGAGCACAGAGTCAAAACGGAGCTTCAGAATTTAAACCGACCAGAACGAACAAAGTTGCTTCCTGCAAAGGCTCACGTGCCTTTGCTCCTCCTTTATGTCTTATGGAAGGGGCCAATCATCTCCAAGCCCTACTCCTGAGTTGTCCCTTTTGTTTTAACTGTTCTTCCTTTCTGGCAGCTCTGCGCATGTGCGCACTGGGAACAGGCTCCCCCTGTTCCTCTGACTCACTGATGTCCGACTCTGGAGGCAGCACATAACTCCCAGATGGCCCTGGCCCTCTCTCTGCCTCCGACGCAGAGCCCATGTCCGAGCCTTCCACAGACTCCAGGACTGGCCCATGTTCCTCCCCAACCTCCTCATTTTCCGACTCTGCTGCCAACTTCGCAGGCTGTCGGCGGACCACAGCAATACCTCCCAGTTCCAACCCTCCAGGTGCAAGGCAAGATGTCCTTGACTCCCTGAGAAAGGAATGTTATTTCTTCGGGCCTTCTGGCCTGCCACTGAAGTGGTATGAAGTTGTAGGACACCCCACCTCCCCCAGTTCTTCTGAAAAGAGCCTTGATAGTACAGTGGTCTAAAGCACCCTGTTATTAAGAACAGCTGCCTGCAATTACTGGAGGTTTGAATCTCGCCAAGGCTCAAGGTTGACTCAGCCTTCCATCCTTTCTAAGGTAGGTAAATTGAGAACCCAGTTTGTGGGGGCAATAAGCTGACTTTGTATAAATATACAAAAGAATGAAGGCTATTGCTTAACGCACTGTAAGCCGCCCTGAGTCTCCGGAGAAGGGCGGCATATAAATCAAATTAAAAAAAAAAAAAAGGTTCCCCTTGTCCAACCCAGAATTAAGCTGGCATGTTCTGCCTGCACTCTTGAGTGTTTCTGAATTTAGCTCATAAAGTGGGTATAATAACTGAGTATCTAGCGAGACACTCTTTTCCACTTAGGAGCACCAAATTAATTCTTAATCATGATGCCTTGGAGAGCAAGTTTAGCTTACGTGGCTTCTGGAAATTGGGCAGGGTGAGAATAGCATGAAAGCTTTGGGGTGCTCCACTCTAATGACATTTTGTGGACAGGTAAGTGGCCTTGGGGTTTCATAACAGGAGAAAGCAGTTGTTGCCTCCTAAGGTTTTATATCTTATCCCAAAGGTGCTTTTTCTCAGGAGGCTACTGGACTTTCTGTTGTTGTTGTTTTTTCTTTTGAAGACGTTTCGCTTCTCATCCAAGAAGCTTCTTCAGCTCTGACAGGATAGTGGGGTATGGAAGGATTTATACTCCTTGCAGACAGCTGGTCATTTGCATCCTTTTTGAGGGTCCTTGAAGCACTTGGAGGTTTATCCGTGTCCTTAGGGTGTCACCTGAGTGGTGCAAATAGTTCCTGTAATCCAGTGGTGAAATCTGAACCGGTTTACTACCGGTTCGCTGGCGCATTCACAGTGTGCACCACGCACCAAATGCGAGATGCGCGTGCGTGCAGTGCATGCCAAAAGGAGACATAGGGTAAGTAGAACAGCGCACCGGGGGTGGGTGTGTGATCAGCTGTGGCGCGCGAATTTTTTTTTTACCTTTTAAAAACATTTTTTTACAACCTATTCAGCCAAATAGGTTGTTAAAAAAATGCTTTTAAAAGTTTTTAAAAAAACAAACCCAACGAATAGGCAGCTCAGCTGGGATCGTCAGAGCCTTTTTTTTTTTTAACCTTTTAAAAGCATTTTTTAAAACCATAGAACCCTAGAATTTTTATTGACCAAGTGTGATTGGACACACAAGGAATTTGTCTTTGGTGCACATGCTCTCAGCATACATAAAAGAAAAGATCCATTCATCAAGAATCATAAGGTACAACACTTAATGATAGTCATAGGGTACAAATAAGCAATCAAATCATACTAGGAAACAATAAACAGAAATACAGAATAGAATAGAACAGAACAGAACAGAACAGAACAGAACAGAACAGAACAGAACAGAATTTTTATTGGCCAAGTGTGATTGGACACACAAGGAATTTGTCTTTGGTGCATATGCTCTCGTCAAGAATCATAAGGTACAACACTTAATGATAGTCATAGGGTCAAAGTCAAAGAAGCGGCAAGCGGGCGACCGGGCGAATGGGAGGGGGGGGGCAGGGATTTTTGCTACCGGTTCTCCGAACCACCCGCCGCCATCGCTATCGGATCGACCGATCCGGTCCGAACCAGGAGCATTTCACCCCTGCTGTAGTCTGCAATTTTCTTCCCTCTGGAAATCCATTCCTACTCCCGCACCATTCGAAAAGTGTTTATCCCAAATTGTATAGCTAAAATTTGTAGAGATTCTCAGTCATCGAGGTCATGGTTCTCCCAAAGGTGCTTTTTTCAGGAGGCAACTGGACTTCCTTGTTTTTGTTCTTTTGAAGACATTTCGCTTCTCATCCAAGACGCTTCTTCAGCTCTGACAGGATAGCTGAAGGAAGACAGCTCCTTCCATTCCCCACTATCCGTTTTTTCTTTGGGGACGTCCCTGAGATATTGGAAGACTGCTATCATGTCTCCCCTAGTCCTTCTTTTCATTAAACTAGACATACCCAGTTCCTGCAACCGTTCTTCATACGTTTTAGCCTCCAGTCCCCTAATCATCCTGGTTGCTCTTCTCTGCACTCTTTCTAGAGTCTCCACATCTTTTTTTACATCGTGGCGATGTAAAAGATGATGCTAGAAGACTTAGATTCCCAGTAGGTGGAACAATTTAGGTCTGACAGGTTCCTCATCCTGTTCCCATATAT